ACGTTATTTGAGGGTGGGAAACACGGCGGAGAGAGTCTATGCTATGAGAACTCTGGAAGGTTATGATGGCTATTTAATCGTAGATGTTCGACGTAGACGTAGACGTAGATGTTTAACCGTAGCTTCCACGACACCAGTTGTCGAAGTTCCTCTTTCAATTTTGAAACCGTTCTAGGCATGTGATCAGCCTTATTTTTCTTTTCCATTTGGCTACATTTCTCCACGGCTCCTTTTCTATTCCGGAAACCCGTATAATTGCCTTTTGCTGGGTCACAGTTTACGCAAGGCAGCGATAAACATGAACGACAGGTTGTTGGAATTGATCTCGGAATATGTCAAAACTTGTCCTTTAATTGGTACCTGTCTCAGACCACAGTTCCACATTCCTGCTCCTGCATTCCTGCATTCCTGCATTCCTGCATTCCAGCAAGCTCCGTTGTGCTGACGTCCCTCGTGCTCTGCTTAGGTGATAAATTACAACCACTACCCGCCCGGACTGACAGCCGCTCAGGAAGGGGAGGGGGGGGGGGGGGCTCTTCCCAGCCGGCCAGCCGTTGCCGTCACACTTCACGTCTGTCACGGAACTGTCCCATTACCGTCACGTGCCGGAGCCGTGGCCGGACGGAACAATTAGTATTCATCGCTGTCTCGCCTGACGCCCGTCGTTCGTTAAATCATGTTGGCCGCCGCCGCCCCAAATCGGGCGCCGTCGGGCGCTGCATCGTGAACAAAATTAACCGTAGCGTTGGAACAGCTGTCAGACTGCGCCGCTCAGAAAAGATTGCTGCCATTGGTCATGGCGGAACCCACGTCAGGCGCAAAAGGCCCGCCGACCGTGGAAATAACTGGGTCACTAACTTAGAGGAGAGGTGTCATCTAAACAAGTTGGAGATCCCATCTCGTACGTCCAATCTCCTGCCAACCAGCGGCCAGAGTGGTGCTGCGCATACCGACAGCGGTCGGCAGACAACCTTTGGTGGCGCATCGGCACATTTATCGCCTGGTATTATTTACAAGTATGCAGTTTGAAATCCAAACTTTATGGTAAAGACACGCGCTAAAAATCGCGGACATGAGGAGTGTTGTCCACACTAATCGGACAGAGATGGCTTTCCGGGTATCCTTTTGGAAGCAAAACACCACCAGCGCTCTTAAACCCACAAACGAAGTCAGGTACTGAAAGTTGATCGAATTTCATTCCCAATCTACAAAAACTTCTTTAGCCATACGTCAACTTTAAGTTAAAGCATTCCTAGGTTTAGCAAATTCAGTACTCTGTTGATTGTCCACACATGAGCATCGAAGACAATTCTGACAGACGAAGGCAGCAATGGACAAACACCATGAACTGAAACGTCACTGAGGTACAAAGAGGCACCACGTGAGCAAGATCTGTCTCACGTAAGCAAATGTTCACATGTACCATTTTGACATATTCACATTAACGACTATACACTGTCATAGGCGGGCGAACGAAATGTGGGAGTAGGATGCTGGCAGGATGAATCGAAATTGGTTTCGGTGTAAAATCAAGGCACGCTTGCCCGCCTGTTGTCCGTTAACTTAATGCAGGCACGTATTTGGTGCCAAGACCGACACCGGCACCGACACAAAGCACGGACGCAGACAGAGGAAGTGACAGGGCGGACCAAGGGAAAGGTCTGGAAAGGGGAGTAACGCCGGCTCTGGACGTACTTAGCGCTAAACCTAGATTATCGATTCGTCGACTCGTCGATTATCGATATCGATTATCTAGATAATCGCCTGCGAAAATGGAGGAATGTATACCGGGGGGAGTATTTCAAAGTCATTTTGACATTCATGACGTCATAATAACGTCATTTAAATCCTACCATTCCATGAGCTATGCAGCGACCAAAGCTAAAAAAAAAATTGTACAGGCGTTCATATGTGGCGTTCATGAGCACGATTTCCAGATATAACGGCTGTCAATTGGTTCTCAATCAATGTTGTGCAAGGAACGGTGACATAAACCGTGGCACATTCAGAAACATATTTACTCAACATAGAATTGTGCTATCTAGAGCATTCTTTTCCACCAAAAAGTTTGCCAACAGTCATAAGTGAGCTTGCTTCATCACATCCGATGCTTGCTTCAATATCTTCAATTGTAAAGCATTCTCTTTAAACTCACGAGAGAAAAACACGAAAATATAATGGGTTAGTGACAGCCTGTAGCCCACATTCGTCTTTCGCGAGCACGCAGGGTACTAGCGGTGCCACTAGCAGATATGCTGCCGGTAGTTATTTCTTATCCCTACTATCGTGTGGACACCGGGAGCCCGGCTCATTCGTCTGCTGTTCCTGTTACGCTGCGTTATTTGTCTTCTTAACGCGTTATCGTTCGGCAATGTTTCTCTTCCTACGAGGGGCCTTGTCCCTGGGAAAAATGCGTCTTCACTTCCGCATTTACGTGAATATTTTATTCCAACATTTAGAACGTTTGGATCCAGCACTCAAACCATCCTCATTTTTATTGCGGCTCCAACGTTTCATGAACGTTTTATGAGTCTATGCACCTCGTACCTTGTCCCTCAGACATTTGCTGAACATCTCCATTACAGTTACAAGGAGCATACTTAATAAAGCCAATTGAGTAAGACTTCGTAATACTAAGTATAACATGACACCATACCATTCTCCTTTCTTTTAAAAAGAAAATAATGCAGTTTAAAAAGATGAAGGGCATGCAGTAAACAGATGGAAATCCACTGAAAAACGTTAGGACTCAATTTTGTAATAGTCGAGCATCAATTTTGAAAACCTTGAGTTCAGTTTACATACAAGATCTTCATTAAATTCGCTGTATGTTATACTGTTTGTGGTTCTAAATAAATCGTCGATAAGTGCATTTCATAACATTCCCGAAGGTTTCCTTTGTATTTGCCAGCGTATTTCACGCTGACAGATCTAAACATTACTCGCACTGAGAGCAGGATCGACGGGTCTATAGCAAGTACTTCATTAAATTCGTGCATGTTTTGCTCTTCCTGGTTGGGAATATATCGTCAATACGCACACACTTCATAACTTTCTCTATCATTTCTTCATTGCATTTGCCCGCGAATTTCACGTTGACAAGGCTAAATATCATCTGCCTTGAGAGCAAGATCGTTGCCGCTCACCGACCTGGCCATGGACCTTTGGATCTATGGACCATGGACCTGTGGCGCCTAAGGTTATGCCGAGCCAAAGCCGGAGTCTGAGCGCGAGCTGAGAGCTTGAGGGAAAATGTAGAATGTACAATGTACATTCGTACAAGCTTATCTGCACACTGCTGTAGTATGAAGGCCGCGCTCGTTGTCCAATTGTCCTGTTTTGCCCAATCAATAAACGATGGAAGCGGCGCTCGCAGTCCGTTGCAGGCTCCCTTCCCAAGATAGCTGACAGACGCTCTCCCGCGAGCTGAGTTTGCCGAGAGTGAGGCAAAATTAGCTTTCCAGGAATGCATCCCGCCACCTACAACCAGCAACCGGAGTACTGGAGCCCTGTCGTGAGCCGACGGAAATACATCGCAACATAATGTAAAATGCATCGTAAAGAAACTCACGCTAATGGCCTGCAACTCCGCCCCATCGATCCAGGCGGCGAAGGTGTGGCAGAACGTGACCAGGTCCCCATGGAAGGCTCTGGCGCACACGCCAGACAGCTGCTACGGCGATCTCTCCGAGCGCTACAGGAGACAGAGCGGCGATCTCCCCAAGCGCCACAGGAGACAGAGCGGCGGTCCCTCCGAGCGCCACAGGAGACAGAGCGGCGATCTCACCGAGCGCCACAGGTGACAGAGCGGCGATCTCACCGAGCGCCACAGGAGACAGAGCGGTGATCCTTCCGAGCGCCACAGGATACAGAGCGGTGATCCTTCCGAGCACCACAGGAGACAGAGCGGCGGTCCCTCCAAGCGCCACAGGAGACAGAGCGGCGGTCCCTCCGAGCGCCACAGGAGACAGGGCGGCGGTCTCCCCAAGCGCCACAGGAGACAGAGCGGCGATCTCACCGAGCACCACAGGAGACAGAGCGGTGATCCTTTCGAGCGCCACAGGAGACAGAGCGACGGTCCCTCCAAGCGCCACAGGAGACAGAGCGGCGGTCTCCCCAGAGCGCCACAGGAGACAGAGCGGCGATTTCACCGAGCACCACAGGAGACAGAGCGGTGATCCTTTCGAGCGCCACAGGAGACAGAGCGGCGGCCCCTCCGAGCGCCACAGGAGACAGAGCGGTGATCCTTTCGAGCGCCACAGGAGACAGAGCGGCGATTCTTTCGAGCGCCACAGGAGACAGAGCGGTGATCCCTCCGAGCGCCACAGGAGACAGAGCGGTGATCCCTCCGAGCGCCACAGGAGACAGAGCGGCGGTGGCATCTGGGGCCGCACGGCAGATGGACGACTCTGCTCGACATTGATGCCCTCTGTTGGGCTCCCAGAGAATTTGCTCAGCGGTTCGAACGAAGGGTAAAAAAAATGAATTGTAAAAACATGTGCACGGAAATGTGAATTTATGTTTTGTAATAGATTCCTGCTGACCTGATTATGATGGATGTTTAATAGATCGCTCCTCATTGGCTTACGATATTTATTAAAAGTGGCACATGAATTTCAACTTATGCCACCCTTTCCGTTTCTTGCGTCATATCATGTGAGTCGTCTGATGCATATTCTATCCTACAAAACTTTGTCGCTGTCATGATCCTTGTGACTGCAGCCCATGCGTCAGAAACTAAGTCATCTTTGTCTCGACTCGTCTTGGACAGCATGCAACTCGTGTCTTTCTTCTTTGGGGTGACATGGCCGCACTCGTGTTACTACCGCGACTGCCGCACACCACGTCAGTGATGACCCTTCCGCGTGCGTTGACGAGTGAGGCGTACACAATCGCCGCCTCGCTGTCAGCCTTTGGATACGGTCCGGCGACCGCACGCGGCTGTCTTGTCCTTTCGTCACCCGCATCAGAGCGCTGGAGTCATGTGACGAAACGCAGCGCAACCCGACGTCCGTGTATTGTCCTGCGGCGCCGCACCGGTCACAGGTCGGGCCGTGACACGTGACCTCGGTTGGACAGAGCCACCGCGCCGGCGGCTCAGACTGATATGGCTCAGAGGGGGCGGGACACACGCACGCGCCTGACATGTAAACGGTCACACCTCCTGACATGTAAACGGTCACACCTCCTGACATGTAAACGGTCGCATCCTCACACATGGAATGGCTAGGCAACCATGCCAGAGGACACGTGGTACGAGGCAGGGGTGCCAAAGGCGATGCAGTGTTTCTACATGCATGGTACAGGGGAATGCAGGATGTGTTGCGCAGTTGGCGGCATACCAAACGTGCCAGCGATCTGCACGAACCGAATTCATTGTGCGATGAATGGAGACATATGGACGTAAGAAGCGGTTTGGTACGTCCTAGATGACACAAGAAACGTAAGCGACGTTCTTTTCATACGGACAGTTTTGCGCAGGACTTGCAAACGTAAAGGCAGCTAGACTAGCACACACTGAACTAACTGATGAAGTGCGCTGAAAGGCGAGCACGGTTTCCAAGTTCGCTTGGCAAGCAACAGTCCGACAAATAAAATCCCTGACAACTTTTAGCCATACGGAGCACCACCAGGATGATACAGAGAGTCGTTTGCTACCTAAAACCAAGCACAAAAGAATGTTTAAAAAGACCAGCTAACGAAACGTATCACTGACAGTCCATGGCCATATTACGCAGGGCTAGAAATAATCCATAAAGTTACTTGCTACCAACATTTTGACGTGCTAGAACGCTGATCATTCTGTAGTTACCGACCCGTCCACACATCATGAGGTCAGTGGTGTAGACAAATACGTCTGACCTTACCCTTGATTTTTGACATAATCTTCGCCGAGAAGATTATAAAAACCGGGGTGCCCCGAGTTTATTCATTCTACTCGTATGTCGACAACAACCTAGACTGAAGTTGGTTGACACGTAAGCAATCTGGCAACACTGCATGGCCCTTCCTGGCAGCGACGGGTTGCCAGATCGCTGGGTCTACCTTGGCTGCGCCTGCATGGCCCTATAAGAAACTGTCAGAATCTCCGCGCTCACAATCGGTTTTCATGAGCCAGTCATGCACATTCAAAGACAGCTCGCTCCGCCCATGGATCCAGTGACGCCACACACGCTTTGCACAATCGCGCCGAGCTCTCCTTTTCAGCCAGAACACCCGGAACAAGCGACTCTGGGTGCAAGCAACGAAGGGGCTTCCAGGAACGGGATATCCGCGCGAAGTCGCACACAGTTATGAGTCTATGACACCACGTTGCTTTGAGAACCGGGGTAACTTGAGTGGACGAGCCGCCAGCGGACAGCTAATAAAAGAGCAGCTGCTCGTCGTCCTCGCTCTCCATGACGTCATCGTCGGGCTGGTTCATGAACTCGTCCTCGTCGTCTGAGACGGTCCAGTGGTCCGACTCCTCCTTGTGGTACTCGAGCGTGATCCGGGTGGTGAACACGTCCTCGCAAACTGAGCACCTGCGAGCACAGGGGCACCTGGTGAGCACAGGAGCGTAGGAAGCACCTGGTGAGCACAGGAGCGTAGGAAGCACGGGAATATAGGAGCACAGGAGCGTAGGGAGCACAGGAACACAGGAACACAGGAGCGAATGGCACAACGGCAGGTCAACGACGGAGCACAACAATATGCTACTAGCAGGGCACAGCGGCAGGTCAACAGCAATACCTTAACGGCAGTGCACAGCAGCAGGTCAACAACGGAACATAACAAGATGCTACCATTGTGGTGACAGCGACGTGCCCACAACGGAGTGAAGCAGCGCGTCGACAATGGAGCACAGCAGTGTGCTAGCAACTGTTCTGTGGAGAAGCCCGTCTGTTACGTGATGTGGCTGACTGACCGCAATGGTGCGTGAGCAAAACACGATGATTGGCAATATCACTGGCTGGCACCATCTTCATTTCATTATAATTTCGTTACTCTCAGTCGTGACCAGCCGTCGTTTTTCCTTTCCGCAGTTGTTAAATGCAATCAGTAGTTGTCAAATGCAATCAAATGCCGATGCAATGATTTTCTTTTGCGTGGCGCCAGACGCCGCAGTTGCCAACAGCGATTCCCACACGGTTGCAGAGTTGAGCGGAGCCTTAGGCCAAGCGAGGAGCCATTCGATTGTATGAATAATGCAAGCCTTTCCGAGAATGTGTTGGGTAGGCGAAAGGAAGCATCAAATACAGTCCGTCTGCAGGTTTTTTGTCCTTGCTGCAAATCTACATATCAACAACGCCTTAGGATTATATCGATAACTCATCAGCTTGCAATGACACGCGCACAACTTTTTTATTTTCCCTACACGAGTGTAAGCTCTAGCCTATAATCTCAAGACGGAATGCAGTTGTCTGATAATGATCTAAGCACTGAGATGATCTGTAATGCATTTACGTTTTGATTCATCGCGAGAACCTGCTCTGGCTTCCTTGGCTCTTGCTCCATCTCTGCACGGTACCTTATAATGGCAGGCTCGGCTGCAAGCGGTTCTCACTTCTTACTTAAAAGGTTCTAGCTCTTTTCTTTCACATTTGGCAACTGGAAATTGATGAAAATAATCAACCTCAGCGGTGCCCTGTCAGCTCAAAACTGAACAAAGTGGAGTCCGCATCACTTAAAATACTTAATGATTACATTAAATGATTTTACTCCACCGAACTTTGACGAAACCTGGTGACTTTTGAGTATGGGGTTGCAAGCAATGAGCTTTAAAAAAGCGAGATCATCGCTGGGAGGGGTCAAGGTCCTAGTAATTTGTCGGCACACTGGAGTGCTTCTGTTTGGCCGTATCAAAAACCCATGAAACGGGAATGGACCGCAGCAGCATCCAAGGCGTTGTCCATGTCCATGTCCATGTCCATGTCCATGTCCATGTCCATGGTTGTGGCCCTGTGCGCGTGACATGTGATCGACAATGACACGTGACGTGACATTGTGACACTCGATGACAATGAGTTCAGCCCCACCGGTACCCGGAAATGGTCGAGGAGGACTGCCCAGAAACAGACAGGCAGTGCTCGATCGTGCCTCGGAGCTCTAAATAAAAAACATTCCGTCTGGACGTGGCCGTCTGGAGACCAATGACCAACGGAGTAGAGAATTCTGGACCGGCGGCATGAGGAGAGGGAGGGAGCGAGAAAGAGAAAGAAAGAGAGAGAAAGAGAGAGGGAGAGAGAGATGGTGAAGGAAAGAGAGAGAGAGAAAGAAAGAGAGAGAGGGGATAGAAAGAGAGTGAGAGAGGGAGAGAAGGAAAGAGAGAGAGAGAGAGAGAGAGGGAGAAAGACAGAAAGAGAGAAAGAGACAGACAGACATAGATACATAGGCAGAGACAGAAGGGAGAGCAGGACATGGGAGAGAGAAGAGAGCGAGAGAGGTAGAGAGAGAGAGGAGAGAGAGAGAAGAGATAGAGAGAGAGAGAGAGATAGGATAGAGAATAGAAGATAGCATGGAGAGATTCTAGCGTTATGCTAGCGGATCTCTCTCGCTGCTTCTACGCTCCACTCTCTCTCTCTCCTCTCTCTCTCCTCTCGACTCTCTCGCGCTCTCCTCATCTCTTCTCACTCTAGCTCGTCTCTTCTCCTCCTCTCTCTCTCTCTCTCCCATCCGTACCTCGTTCCCCATGTTAGCGTTGCTGCACCTTTCAGCGTGACGCCACGGCGCTCTGGCGCCCCCGACCAGAAGGCGTCATGACCAGGCTCGTCCGACCGTTGTCCGAACCCATCCGTACCCGTAGTGGCGTTTCTTCTTCTGATGGTAGCGCAGGTGCTTCCGTGTGATAAACGTCAGGTCACAGACGATGCAGGTGCGGTCGTCCTCTGCAGAGGAGAGGGTAGAGAGCATTGCCCTCTGGAGTCAGTAATCGAGCTGCTCGGGGCATCGCCACCATCCGACACCATTAGACACTCATCAGTCATAATTACTGTTCACGTCGTATTGATCTCGCCTCCGCAGAGAAATAGAGTGAGCTGATTCTCTTGCCGTAAGTGATGCCGAAAAGATGGCGTGATGCTGTTTTCCCGAAGCCAAGCGAAAAATTGTATCACCTCCTGCCCATCTCATACCACAGCACAGGAGTTGTCGCCAGCTGGTGGTGTAAGGTCCAGTCGCTGCCGCACGCCACTGATGGTGATCACTGACGCTCGCTCCCGCCAGCGTAAGCCCGCGGGTGACCAAAGACCGGCCCACCCCTAGCCGCCCTCCAGACGTGACCCGCGTGACAGTTGGTCAGACGTGATAGACGTGACGGTTAGTCAAACGTGACAGGCGGTCAGACGTGACAGGCGGCTAGACATGACGAGCGATCCTCACCGACACGAACCCTTGGCCAGCTCTTCGGTACCCTTGGCCGTTCCTCGGTGCTGTGAACGCCTGAGAGGCGTTTTTGATCGGCCAACCCAATGCCGCTCACTGCCGTTAACCGTCAGAGTGAAGGCCTGGTGTGCAGCTGTTCCTGACCTTCACAGATTTGTTTTCAGAACTTCACGCGGACCCTCAGAACCTTTCTTGGCTTATAACATGGGGTCCACGGTCATAACGCTACCGGTTTATGGGTTTGACCCCACGATCCTCGGATCTCTCCATCTTTTGATCTCCTTTAGGGCCATGATCTCGTCCGGTCGTGGCCCAAACTGAGGAGCTGAGGTCATGGCTGAGACCCCCTAAATGAGGTGTAATTTTACCGTCCACAGACCTTGCTCATCATCGTTTGTCAGACGGCAAATCTAAAAGGCGGCTGCGACTCAGGTCCTGACAGATGGATCGACTCAGGTCCTGACAGACGGGCTTCACTCAGGTCCTGATAGACGGGCATGACCCGGGGCCTGATTGGCGTTCCTGACGGATGTCATGACTGGTGGTCCTAATGGAAATGACGGCGGGTGAAACTGGCCGAGAAATCCGTATGTGGGACCCCCCCGCCGCCGTCCGCCAGACCGAATCAGACCGCAAGACCGCTGTCGCCTGACCCTCACCGTCGTCGGTGAGGCTGAAGTCCTCGGCGTCAGCCGGCACGTCGCCTGGGTCGTGTTTGGGCGGCGGCGGCAGCGGCGGCTCGGCAGCCGTCGGACCCAGCTCCGTCAGGCCGATGGCCATGTCGTCGCTCGTCGTCAGCTTGTCGTAGCCGTGCGAGGAGCTGCTGACGCTCTCTGCGGAAGGACGCAGTCCTGCCGTGAGACGTGGGAACAGACCACGCGCCACTGTGGGGCATGCAGACAGTGACCTTGCGACGTTGCACTGGCGAGAAGATGGTGCTCCCTGGCGATTTTGCGTGGTTGCGATGGCTGGGGCTAAGGTCCCACATCAGATTACCAGCCAATTCTTTCTGTTGGAGTTTCTGTCATGCCGAGCACTTATTGTGTAACGCGATCTGTATCAATCCAAACCTGCATAAAAAATAATTGTTTGAGGTGATCAGCCAGGCTGTGACATGTAAGCAACACGTTTTCGAAAGGCGCCTGCCGTGGCGAATGCATCAGCTAGTAAATACACAATCGTGCACGTTTTTGTACAATGGTTGCTGCAAGCGTGCGGCAAGATGTGTTCAAAGGAGGCCAACTCTCAGCGTCAAGCGGGGTTTTCCGCGTGCACTGAATCAGAGGGCGTCTGATGTGACCGCCGGACGCAAACGGCTTCACAGACAAGGACATATACGAGATCGATTCTTGTGGGCGGGGTTCGAATAACGCCATAATTACACCAGCATGTACCCTATCGAGGGAAACGGCTCTAGTTTTACGCCATGGGGCGCGGTTACATAGCCCTCTGAGCTGAGTTTACCGGAGTCACAGCAGCCGAAAACTCAGGAGACACCGCGTCGTGTCCCGCGTGAGCTATCTCAGGAGGCACCGCGTGGTGTTCCGCGCGAGCTAACTCAGGAGACACCACGTCGTGTCCCGCGTGAACTAGCTCAGGAGACACCGCGTCGTGTCCTACGTGAGCTAACTCAGGAGACACCGCGTCGCGTCCCGCGTGAGCTAACTCAGGGGACACCGCGCCGTGCCCCGCGTGAGCTAACTCAGGAGACACCGCGCCGTGTCCCGCGTGAACTAACTCGGGAGACACCGCGTCGTGTGCGTGAGCTAACTCGGGAGACACCGCACCGTGTCCCGCGTGAGCCAGCTCGGAAGACACCGCACCGTGTCCCGCATGAGCTAACTCGGGAGACACCACGTCATGTCCCGCGTGAGCTAACTCGGGAGACACCGCGTCGTGTCCCGCGTGAGCTAACTCGGGAGACACCGCGCCGTGTCCCGCGTGAGCCAACTCGGAAAACACCGCACCGTGTCCCGCATGAGCCAACTCGGGAGACACCGCGCCGTGTCCCGCATGAGCTAACTCGGGAGACACCGCGTCGTGTCCCGCGTGAGCTAACCGTCGTCCGGACAACTTCATGGGCTGGGTGAGCCCCTGGAAAACCATACGGAATGGATTGCGGCCTCGGCGGGAACAGAGTTTGGAAATTATGGGTGCGAGTCAGACGTTTACGAAATAAAGAGCATGGACTTCAAGAAATGTTACACGAAATATTACCGCCTGCCTTTCTTTTTCCCGATCCTCACGACATTTGTAATCACCGACACAGAAAAGTAAGTTTGGGTGTCATCTTCCCTGAAATCTCTCCATTATTGAGAGCTTAAGTGCTGGAAAAACGCAAACGGGTGGGTAAAAGTTGGGTGCAACTCATTAGGGATGGGTATGGATCCGGCCCTGTAAGTGGCGGTTTGGTATGGGAGCAGTACCATGGGTAAGGGGGACTGGCGGGCGGCGGACTGTGTAAGGGGAATCTTGATGTTAAGTGCAAAGGTTGGAGGTTGTTGTAAAAGGTTGTTAAGCAATAATTGTGTGAAGGCCCCTACCACCGTCACTAAGATGATCAAAGTTCTTCTCTTTCGGTACGGTCGAAAAGGCACATGTGGAAGAAAAGTGATAAACGATATGATAGGGGACGCGCATACGAGGGGGCGTGTCTTGAGATGACTGTCACCTTCTTGCCTCTGACTGCAAAATTGGAGAGTGCGTGTGTGTTTGGTAGTGGTTTGTCACAAAAATGTTTGAGCTTGTAGTAGGACATCCAAAGGCCGATTTATGTTATATTGCGTGACGTGCATGAACACGGTGCTCTTTACCCGAAGGCAGCGCAAGTTGTCGTCTGATTTGTTTCTGTTAACTCATCAAGTGCATACTCAACATCACGAATAACATTTTGATGGCGCCCGTGAACTTTGTATCAATATTAACTAAGACAAATCCATCAAAACCTGAACGCCGTAAGCGAATCCATAAACTAATGCAAACCTCTAAGCAAACTGTTCACTGTGCTTGTCTATGTCCAACAACAACAACGAAATGAGGGGTATCTCCTCATCATTTTTTCACATCTAGCGCCTTCGTTGTTTGCTTTGCACCTATCTTTGCATCCTTGCCCACACCTAGCAACCAGACGAGATTGCAGCTTGCTAACCGACGAGACTGCACAGTCTTTAGCCTTATCTAATCTGTGTTCCCGTTAGACCCAATGATTCTTTCATTTGATCTGATACACTATCTTAAGCGGAAAACCAAATTCATACGCAATCCTGGAACAATAGTGCATCACGAGTGCAACTAAAGCCATCAGAGGGCAGGGCGCACCGGCCAAAGAGAATATAAACTGGAAAATGCATTAAGGTCGGCGTACAGATAATGCAGGCCTCGGAATTAATGGGACTATATTAGATAATGGGATTCGGAATTAATGTACAGGTGAGTTCAAACCTTCGTTTTCCTTTTAGCAAAAAAGGATGCTTTACAGCACCGCTATTTCCTCACACGCAGTATCCCGTTGGGAAATCAAGCGCATAAAACAAAAACGTTTCACTGCGGAATTCCTCTTTGGAGCTAATAAAACAAACTAAGTTATTAATGCCCTCAGCCACTACTGGCTCGTTGCTGTCTTAATAACCGGCCACAGGGCGTCCTTTCAAGCTAATTAGTTGCGGTTTTCTCCGAAAAGGCTCAAGTCACCTTACTCTATCTATCCTCTTCACTCTATCATATTATGCGTCTTATGAGGGTATTAAGCTTCCTCACTTATCTGTAGATCATCTCGGATTTTATTGCCACCAAGCGTAAAAACAAAGAGAAAAGCTGTTTGCCGTTTTTGTCCTTTCGGAAGCTGCAGCTGGCTGGTATTGCCGCGCAAGACAAATCTGATGAAATGCGAGTGTGCGGACTCTGAACACTTTTCCTGGCGGTGGTGCGCTTATGGTCTGGCGAAATGATTAAGATGAGGTGGGGGTTATCACGGACGGAGGCCCGCTCGGGCCGTGGGTCCCATCTATCGGGATGGTCTGTACATAACGTTTCGGGTGGTGAATTGCCCGGACGTCGTCACTTGTTATGAAGTGTTGCGCAGGATTGGTTGGTGTGCGTCATGCATGCACTCCCCATATCCCGGGAATGCTGGGATTCGAACGGGGATTTTCTGGCTACGAGTCCAGTGTTCTTTCACTGAGGCAACCTGTAAGGACGGGCTTCGGTGTTTGAAGCATGTCGTTATTTGTCGCCTGAATATTTTGGAGATTTGTTCCGCGGTGATATGTACGCTTGGATTACTGATGAGGCTGCTAATCAATAGCATGCGTGTTGTCTGCTTAATCCTTCCAGCTTTCCAGTGTTACTCTCTGTGGATGAGATAACTATCTTATTCCATCCTGGTCGGTGATAGCATTCTGACCATGTCTGGTCTGTCACGTTAAACATCGGAGTCCTACCTGGGATGACTGCCTTTTCGTGCTCTTCTGGCCCGACCGACAGAGGGTGGCTTTCTTCGCCTCTTTCAGGGGCCTGCCGCAACTGCGCGGTAGGTGGTATGTGTAGTTTTTTACATGATCTTTAGGTGTCGATGTTCGGACTTTCGTAGGTGTGCTTCGGAGCGTTCAGCTGCTTCTCACGATCCTGCTGACGTTGTATCGTTAACAGATTCTTCTTATCTTTGCTAAGCCTTTGTCTTAAGATAATGCTAACCTTGTTGTCTGTTTTCCTTTGGTTACCATGGTTGCTTAGCGTGCTCTTTTGACTTCTGGTCTATGAGGCTTTTTCATATACCGCTCCTGTGGAACCTCTCGGTTGTGTAGTTTACTCCACTCCATTCCACTCCACTCTGCCTATTTGCGTCACCATCGCTGATGCCATGTGCGCCATGTTCAGTATTTCCTTGACGGTGTCCGCGTGATTGAACTGAAAGTTCAGGTACCGGTCGTCTGCTTCTGTTTCCGGTACACTGATGTCCTGAGCCAGTTTTCAGTTCACCCGGGTTGTACGTTTAGTAACGGTGGCCTGTTGTTGACCTCGCGCGCCATCTGGGAACAGGATGCAAGATGTTCCATGGTTGAGGAACGTCGTTGCGTCTCTCTGGTGTTGCTAGAGGACGAGTGCGTCGCCGATGTATGGCAGGCGCGATGATGGCTCGAGTGGGTAGCTATCATCGACAGGTCTTTGAAATGTTTCTCGTCGATGCTGGCAATCACCCGTGACATAGATGACCCCATGGGAGTTCCCTGGGTCTGCCAGTAGCAGTGTATCCTTCTTCAGCTCGCTGCATGTCAGATGACTCCCGCGGTTATTCGGCTGGCGAGTGTACCCCTCCTGGCTTAATGAACACTGCGGCGTTGCCTTTGTCAGGTGGAAGCATGATGATGTCATTCTTGAGCTTCTTAATGGCTGCTTGTGCTGGTCACATCTGGCTTTGTGGTCTGACTTTTTCCAATTATTCCTTGGTTTCCCCTATCTGCACTGCGGTCTCGCCTACGGGGAGATGCTAGGAGATGCGTATGGTTTAATCGCGAGTTAAAGCTTGCAAAATGTAACCCTGTATTCGCTGTTGATTCCTGATGTGGCAACAGCTGTTTATCACTCAGGCTTGCCACCGTCTCCATTGGCGTAGTATTGGTTTCAGCCTTCGAGTTCGTCTCGCTGTGCTCGAACTTTTCCGTCTTTGGGATGTAAATCCTCTTCGCCCTTTGATCTCCGGCTACGTAAGGTCTTTTCACAGTGTCCAATATGCAGCTGATATATTTTTCCGCTGTCGCTTATGATCTCACCTTTGACTCGATGCCCGATGTCGACATCTCCGGGTTGATCTTGCTCGGACGGGGGGTGGCGATGC